CCCTCTTCATCCACTACACCCTGATCTATCATCTTGTCGTTCCCATCCGTCCACACGCTCCTCATTTCGACAGCTACCCTCTCGCATTACCAGTTATAAAATTCCCCTGTACCCTACCTGACCCAACTCCTAACCAAAAAGGAGCAGGTCGCGAGTAAACCACATCAAAAGTTTTGTAGATGAAACAAATATCAGCAACATTCTTTAACTCTCTCTTAACTATTATTATTATGTATACATTTTTAACTGAAATGCCAGCATATATGCTTACACAAGTTATACAAATACAAATACAAATACAAACCTGCCACTCGTTTTAGCCCATTCCGCAATACGGTCCGAACAATCTCTACTTTGTCGGGAATGCATTAGTTGTTCAACCGGACTTAGAGGCATCAAACGGGATCATGCACGTGTTAGACAATGTTCAGCTCACACCGGAAGCCGATAACTATTTCATCAGTTATTTGACAAAACAGTCGGATTTGACGTAAGTCCAACCAGTTCGTTTTTGCTGTACGGTAACCTGTTTTCTGAACAGTTGCCGAATGGTTGTGCATTATCATTGTTACAGTTACGAAGAAGGACTCACGAGCTAGTTAGTTCGCGAGGAACTTGAAATTTTCTTTTTATGGACATTTACACGACATAGCACAGCTCATCTATACAAGCTTGTTGCAGACCTCGCTCATCTCAGCACTAGCCTATGACTCGGGTGGAAACATTCACAATCTGGCCTACCGTTTCAAGTGAGTAATAGAGAATTTTATTAAATTCAAGCTCGCAAAGATGGGTTATACTATATCGTGTAAATGGAAGTTGAAAAACGGTCTAATCAGCTGCCTACCGGTGGCCGAGTGGGTAGCATGTTTCGTTCTGCCCATGAGGTCCCGCGTTCGATCCCCAGTTGGTTGGATGGATTCTCTCACTATTGATGATACCCAAACAGGTCGAAACAGCCGTCCAGTGCTTCCTGGATTTTCAGTGGACGGTTCATTTGCTATATACACAGTAAATTTCACCTTTGAAATTGAGTACAAATCCTCCATGACTCACACGGAACACATTTCAGGTGCCAATATCATAATTCCATAATAATGACTATGGGTAAAGTGTACTTATTCCTAACTTCATCTCCCAATTCCATGTTCTTATTTCAAATTCAAATTCAAATTATTTTATTATGGGAAAAACTTACAAAGACTTCACATATCAAATCCCATAGGGTGTTTACACTTTGGTTCGGAACACGATTCACAAGATCACAGTTAGTCCATGAAAGTAAAATAGTAATGTAATATTTTTGACGAGCACAAGAGGATATATTATGTAGTTGGGTGTTGAAATATAATGTGTGCTAGAGCATCATCAAGCTAACGCTTGAAAGATACTAACGTTAGCGCACAGACCACGTAAGGTGGTAGAAAGTTCCATTTGCTGCACACTCTGACTGCAAATGAATGGCGTCTGTAGTCGAGACGACTCTTTTTGAGTGCCAACTTCAGTGGATGCCCTCTGAGATGAACATTGGTTGATAGAACCAAAAGAGATCTACGTGAATGGTTGGAATTTTGGAAAATCCGATACACTAAAATCATATCGTCTCTGATTTGACCGTACTGAGATGAGTATAGCCCCAATAGCTGTAATCTTTTGCCATAGGTTTTGGCATGTAGACTTTTGACCATCTTGATAACCATTCTCTGCGGATGTTCGAGTCCCTTCCGATCTCGCTGCAGCCATGGGTTCCAGGCCTGAATTGAGTACTCGGCGTATGGATGGATATATGTGGCTAACAGACGCGGAAACAAAGCCAGCTCAAATGATCCAAAGACACGTTTGAGCAGTTCAACCTATTTTATTGCCATGGATGATGCCATGAAACCGTTTGTGGAGCAGCTGAAGTCTGCGCTAATGACTACTCCCAGATCCTTCTCGGATGGAGCATGAGTTGCTCTCTATCACCGTTGGAATTTGCACGACCCTGGGCGTCATGATAAAATTTGTATTAGTTCAGTGGCTAGGGTGTGACATGTATTAGAAGAAACTGGCAAATTTCTTTGTACAGTCAATTTGGCGGACTCCATGCAAACGTGACTGCCTTCAGTGCTCAAAATTGAAGAAAAGCACGTAGAATATCGACCAAAAGGCTATGGTTCAATTTTATAAGTAAATTATGACGTTTTTTCTACTAAGGCTTTCTTATTTTACAGCTAATTCACTGGGCAACCGTCATCGAAATTGTAGATTCTATTGGCATTCGACCGCGTCTGATATGAGTGCAGTAATCGTAGTATTTATGATATGCACTGATCACGATCATGGGTTAACAATCACGGACGCCACGTAAGCATTGGTTCACACTGATACTTGCACGTAACCGAGACGCGAGGAAAAGGCCACACAAATAGCTGTTCTTTCATTGGAGGAAATCAGGATAATTAAATAATATGTACAAAACAAGCTCATTGGTCATTCAGGCCTCTACCAATCGCGTGCTATTATTTTTTTTGCGTTGTGCAGCTTCTGTCTGAGCCGCACGTTTTCTGATTGGTTGGTACAATCAAGCTATGGTTTGTAGTCTAGAAGCTGTGACTCCCACGCACTTTGCTGACGTTACCTGGGAAGCTTGATTCATCACAGTTATCCGAAATCTGTAACGTGTCGCTCCGTGGTGTAGGTCATCTCTTAGGCCAGGATCATCACGATGCGGCTATAGCATATGCAATGCGTGTGTGTGTACTCGTGAGTGTGTAGCTCAAAGACTAAGTCCTTACCAATGCATAGATCGAAATATGTTGCCGGTTTCACGGCCCTCTTTTTGCTGAGCGCATCGACTGTCATCGATATTCAGTGGTTCATTCGGTCAGTCAGCTGATCACAGCTGATAAACTGGATAGGCGAAAGTGTAGCTGTGTCATTGGGGTGATCATAGTACGGAAATGTTTCGCACAAAAATCAGCTACGCATTCACGCATTTGTGCGGAAACCAAATCGCGTTTACTATTTCCGAATAACAATGATCCACTAATTACTACAAGTGCCTACTTAAAGAAAATGAGGTTTGTCGCGTTGTTCGACCAGTTCACTCGGAGAATCTGTGGTTACCCCAGCCTGCGAGAATGACACATACTCTGGAGCGACGCATTACGGTTTTAGAATTCATCAAGCCTCACGGGTGACGTCAGCAAAGCGCCTACGCCTCACAGCTTCTGGACTACATACCGTAGGTCGATTGTACCAGCCAATCAGAAAACGTCCGGCTCAGACAGAGGCTGCGCAACGCCAAAAATACTAGCACGCGATTGGCAGAGGCCTGAATGACCAATGAGCTTGTTTTGTACATCTTATTTAAACTCCATTATATTTATTAATAAACGAACTGCCATCCATGTGGCCTTTTCTTCGCGCCTCGGTTACGTGGGATACTGTGTGCAAGTACCAGTGTGATTCAGTGCTTGCGTTGCATCCGTGATTACTAGTCCAGGATTCGTATTTCGTGGCCAGCGGGTAGTACTATTGATACAATTCCAAAAGGCGGTGCTGGTCGAGGATAGTCCTTCGTTGCCAATAGCGGTCAGGATATAGTTAAATTGTCATTCATATAACAAAATATCTCATTTGGAACAAGTTTGTAGAATTCCCGCAAACACAGGATATGTAACGGAACGGTCCACTATCAGATGCACAATCTTGTGTTCACTGTACCAAACAGCAACAGTTTGCTCCAACAGATCTTGTTCATTTTTGGTCTTTGAAAGAAACCGTTGATCGCATGTTTTTGCCTACTACTCACAAGTGAGAAGTATCTCACACCAATATTACTACCATTACCACACTGATCCAAATGGAAACAGTTCCGTGCTTTGTCAGTGTGACCTCGTCGGGCAGCTGATAGAGCTTGAGCCGTGTAACAATGTAGAAGGTATCTATACAGGTGTTGACCAAACTCGTGCAACATCACCCTCATTTTTAAAATCCATTTCAGCTTGCAATAGCATACTTTTATATAGATGGTTATGGGTACAGTGTATTTATTCCTGACTTTATCTCCAACATCTACGTTTTTAGTTCATTTCTATGATCATTTAAATGTGCGCAACCTTGAGTGTCGCTATAAAATTTGCAGTAGTTCGAAAGTTACAGCTCTGATTTGAAAAATACTTTGGGCAAAGTAGCGTGGGTGTTCATTCTTTTTAATAGATGATTCGCGTCCCATGAGATTTTCTATTAGGTTGAGCACACGTATACTAAATTTCTATTCTCTTTTCATTCAGTGCACAGTAAATAAGCAAATTATTGAAAATATTCTAACTTAAATAAATTGCTAAATTTTTAGGCTACAAACTAATCAAGCATTATCTGAAATACTGGAAGAACTGAAAACATAGTCCAAGAAAGACACAAGTTGATCTTCGATAGTTGACCTTGAGATGTGCGGCTCGTTGAATAAGCGTCCTGTAGTGTCACTATGTCCAAACCGGATAAAACTTCCAAAAGGTTTTGGCATATAATTAAAGCCGAGAAGCAA